GGGGACATGGGGAGATATTGGTCAAAGGGTACAAACTTGCAGTTAGAAGATGGATAAGTTCTGGAGATCTGATGTACGACATGGTGACTATAGTTAATAATACTGTGTTGTATACTTGAAATTTACTAAGGTAGTAGATCTTAAGTATTCTCACCACACACACTCACAATTTTTTTAAAAAGGTAACTATGTGAGGTGATGAATATGTTAATTAGCTTGATTGTAGAAATCAATTTTGTATCTTTGATTTATTGTTAGGTATTAGTGGTAAGAAGTCCCCAAGACCACCTTTAGGTTCAACAATTTGCTAGAAGGACTCACAGAACTTATTAGCATTGTCTAATAACAATGGTAGTGGACCTTTTATGGTAGAGATGTAAATTATAATGTCTGGTAGAAAAGGTAAACACAAAAGTTATATAGTTTATTACCCTTCGGAACACTAACTAGTTTTGAATCTAAATAAGCAATCTGATTCAAGCATATTTTCTTTCTGCTGCTGCAAATATTTCACTTTCTCTAATTCTCTTGGGAGTTCTCTTACTATCTTGCTGGCACCATCATTAATTAGGTAATAAATCATTGATCTGTACTTACTTTGTATTTATGAGAATCATGTTTTTAATTTTTAAAAAATTATACTTTGAGAGGATCTTATCATTTATACACTCTGATAGGTAGTCAACTTTCCTGATTTTCGGTCCTGATAGAGATCTCTACTGTGTCATTTTTGTGGGAATCTGAAGTGATGGAAACAGGAAGCTAAAACCTAATACTCCATCACTCTGAAAGTCCCTGTTGTCGATCTCTCTTATTTTGTCTGCTCAGAATTCTTTCCCTCTTCTTGGGGGAACCTATTCCTTGTGATTCGGGCAGGGTTGTGGGCACCCGAAACCTTCCTTTCTCCTCCATGCGCCTCCCTTTCCACCTCCTATCCCTTGCGTTCCATCCCCCATCCCCCACCCCCACTCCAGCTCCCTCATCCTCCTCTGTTACAGGGATGAATTTCTGTCTGAGGCCCCTCCATTCAGACTGCCCCAGGCCATAGTGGCTGGTTCAGGCATGGTGCATACTGGCCAATCAGAGTTCTTCCTGGGATTACTTCCCTGACTGAGCTATTAGAAAAGACTGGCTTTCTGCTGGGTTGCTAATCTGGTGGTAGGAGAACTCAGAGATACTGAAAGCTGTCTTGTCTGCTATCTGCAGACAGGTAGCCCAAGGAGAAGAAAAAATGGGCACAAGTTGTGAGCACGTTATTCGAGCTCTAGCTCTAGCTGCTTAAAGCTGCCTTACTCCTGCACTTCCTTGTTTCCAGTCCTGTGAGAAATTGAATTCACTCTTTCTGCTTAAACTAGTCTGAGCTGGGTTTCAGTCACTAGCAACTAAAAAAGTACTGATGGAAAAATAGATACTTGGAAGTGGAGCATGACAGGTGATTACTCCTGAAATTTAGAATGGACTCAGTTAATGTGGATGAAGTGTAGCAGGGAGGACAGTCCTCAGTGCGAGTCTGGACGTCTTCGCCTGTAGTTTAAAATAGCAGGTTAAACTTTTACATTTTGAAACTTGGACTATGTGCCTGTCCAGACTCCAGCTTTAGCACTGGGGTAGGTTTGTTAGATGCTTCCTATGGCTTTCAGTTAAGCCCTGCAAAAAGGAAACAAGCTTTGGTTCAAGCTGGAGGTGCAGAAGGCAAAGAGGGAAGAGAACGTGGCCTTATTAAGAGAGTCTGATTTACTTTGGGCAACTGACGACTGCTGAATCAAGCAATCATGTGCCTTGCGAGAGGGGAATTCTACTCCAAGCCAATCAGTGTTAGTAAATGCAGGGAGGGAAGTCTGAGCACAAGCTGAGACCCTCAACAGTCCAGAGAAAGGGGGAAACCCCTACATAGCATAGCTCTTGCCAGAGGAGATATTACCCACCATAAACAGCCTTTTCCCAAAATGCTGCTTGGGATAGGGAGGCTAAGCCTATCTGCGGGGCATCACCCTCTCAACCTGTTTCTCATGAATCGGAGGCAGAGACTAGGGTGGAAGAAGTTAAGTGAGAACTTGGGGATTTGGTATCTACAGGCAGAAACATGAAGGCTACAGTTCAGATGCAGGCAGGGTTCGCGTTCAAGGACCAGACATTAAAGTTACCAGCAGAAGTCTGAAATTTCGAGAGTTCTGAGAAATACCAAGTCTTGGAAATATTAAGTTTGTTCAACCTTTGTCAATCCCCATGACTGTGGCCACATAATGCACACCCCACAAAACGTTGAAGGCCGAAGGCGTGGGATTGTTGCCTATGCCCCTCTGATGGCCTCTCTAGCTGTTGTGTCTGTGAATAACAGTGCCTGGGGGTGGGGAGCCCTTCTGAACAGCCAGGGATAGGCAGATCAAGAAACATGCTGTGGGCTGCTGGGGCAGGAAGTTCTTGCTGCTTCTGTCCAATGGACTTTATGGCCCAGCGAGCATGGCATGCTGTTGGTCTCTTTTTTTTTTCAGGCTGGTTGCATCACTGTTGATGTATCTTACTCCATAGCTGACCAAAGGGCATTGATTAGGAAGATTGATTTAACAAACATCTCTTTGGGGTTGCAAAAGTCCCCCAAAGGTCAAAATTATTGGTTATCACTACCTGGACTCAGCAAAGCATTGACTAAGTGAGGCCATTTTTACTATTAATGTCAGCTGGAGAGACTGGAAATCATTACTGAGGGATGGTGTATCAGTTTGCTAATATGCTAAGATCACGGCGACAGCAGCGTCGGTTCCTTCTGAGGGCTGAGGGAGAATCTGTTCCTTACTTCTTTCCTAGTTTCTGGTGGTGGTTGGCAATCTTTGGTGTTTCTTGGCTTGTAGAAGCATCACTGTGATCTCTGCCTTTATCTTTACTTAGTGTTTCTCCCTGTGTGTTGTCTATGTCCAGATTTCCTTTTTTAATGAGGATACCAGTATGACTTCAACTTAACTTAATTATATACACAATGATCCTATTTTCAAATAAGGTCACATTTGGAGTACTGGAGGCTGGCATCTCAACATATGATTTTTTTTATTTTTTGAGACAGAGTCTCGCTCTGTCACCCTGGGTAGAGTGCCGTGGTGTCATTGTAGCTCACTGCAACCTCAAACTCCTGGGCTCAAGCAATCCTCTTGTCTCAGCCTCCCAGTAGATGGGACTACAGGTGCTTGCCACCATGCCCAGCTAATTTTTCTATTTTCAGTAGAGACAGGGTCTCGCTCTTGCTCAGGCTGGTCTTGAATTCCTGACCTCAAGCAATCCTCCCGCCTCAGCCTCCCAGAGTGCATGGATTACAGGTGTGAGCCATTGTGCCTGGCCTCAACATTTGAATTTTAGGGGAACACAATTCTTCCTGTAACAGATGGCAAGCTTGCGAGGGGTAAGAGTGGAGGGAGAAGGGACACACAGAAGCTCACAGACTGTTGTTCTTTC